GTAGTAGTAGTAGTAGTAGTGTTGTCGTCGTAGTAGTAGTCGTCGTCGTCGTAGTACTAGTACTAGTAATAGTACTAGTACTAATACTAGTAGTAACAGTAGTGGTAGTAGTAGTAGTAGTAGTAGTAGTAGCAGTAGTAGTAGTAGTAGTAGTAGTAGTAGTAGTAATAGTAGTAATAATAATAATTGTAGTGGTAAAAGTAGCTCGCCGTTAGTATCTAGTGTTTAGTAGCTAGTGTTCAGTAGTCAGTGGTCGGAAGTCGGTTGGCAGCAGTCAGTAGCCAGTAGCTTGTAGTTACAAGTAGAAGTTAGAAGTTAGCGGCTAGTAGTTGTTGTCGTTGGCAGCAGTAGTAGCCGCAGTACTTGTTGTTGATGTTTTTCTCGCCCTGCCGATGCTGCGAGGTAAAACTGGCCAGCTCTCCTTTAGAAGCGAACCTAGTGAAGCATTTACACGTCAAGCAGTCAGTTACAGCGGCCCAGGCTTAAGCCAGTCCGTCACGAGTCGTAGTATTATGTAGTATTGTTTTTTCGCGTATAGCAAAACATACATGTCCGCGCATATGCAGGAGTGATGCCGTCACAGCCCATCACCTGCAACTACAACGGCAGTCGTCAGCAAGCGACGACCACCACCACATCAACATGAATACGCGCCGAACGCGCACACGCGAGGACCGGACGGTCTATGTCCATGCCTCGACCTGTCGTACGCCAACCGTCATCACCGTTTTGAACGTGGCTTGCGAATGTGTTTGCAAGCAAACAGTTTCCCTTCGAATGAACCCTCCGATTAAATATTGCTCCGCGTTTCCGGGGGATGCATCGGAAGCCCGCAACCAGACCAAACACGAATACCCGACCTTAACCAACTTCACAACCAATCCCTCAGCCCCTCAGCGCCTGCGCATCCCACAACTTGGCGCAAAGCACTGCTTGAAGGCATCTACTGCATCTTGAGAAACTACAGGTTTGGAAAAGTTCCGAATCAGTACAACTCCATGAGAAGGTCACCTTCACTCGATAGGACATGGTGCCACATGCAACTGGATAATAACACGACACACAAAAGCTAAACTCCCATCCATAAACATGGACGGGGCTATCGTTGTCCGGCGGCCTCATGGCCCGCAACACCTTCAGAAACATGAAGTTTTGCTGGACACAGCGCGACGTCATGTTTTTAACAACCACTGACATCAGATGACGACAACTGTGATGGATATGATATACGCTCTCGCATCTCGGACTGCGCCAGACGAGGTGGATATGATGATATGATATTCATGATGGCGATGAAAGCCGTCAGAATGAGAAGGATGGAATTCCAGGTGATCGTGGTAAAAACTAGCACTGCTACTACTACTGGCAAAGACGACGACTATGCCCACGCGACCACAACTAGTGCTGCTGTTGCTTGTTGCATGGTACAGGAACCTACGCCGTGTCAAACCACCGCCTCGACCCTCAAGACACAATTGGGTGCACGACGAGCTTCTCAGGCCTACAAACCTCGTGGCCGGGAAACTCACCTTACTCGATGTGCACTATGGAGGCCCTCTGACCCGGAGTCCTTCAGTCGCACGCCAAGTTCCCTACATTTCCCGGATAGAAATCAGAAAAGCAAGCAGTGAACATGAACTGAAGGTTTCGGCCCACCTTCTCGACTTAATTTCGACTCACAGCTAGCCCGGGGGGGGCTACTGGCTCTTAGGGTATTTAGTTCAAGATTGGTGTTTGTCCGGCTTTGTCGGGATTTCCCCAAGCCAAAAAGAGATCCAAGCTCACAATACATGACATTGTCTTGATAACCTGACCGCAATTCTTAAATCTTCAAGCCCCACAGCAGGAGGCATGCTCCCTGACCTTGTCGGCGCAAGAGTGCTGCAATGTTGTCCGCAGCTACACGGAGCTCCTAAGACGCACAAGGCTAGCCCAACGTCCCGTATCTACGCCTCAACCTCAAAGCGTCCACCACAGCCCCAAAGCCCAAAGCTCAAATCCTAGACAGGCCAGCAATCCCCCAACCAGCAGCTCAAAACTCACTGACCCTCCAGCCCAGAAAACTACCAACATTCCTCGAACGCCGAACCCCGGGTCACACCCTGAACACACCGGCTCCGCGTAGCTCCAGCTGCCCGTCGCGTCCACTGCGGCCTCATCGTTGACTCCATATTCTCTTCGAAGGTTCAGAAACCTTCTACTGACACCGCATTCTTACTGTTGCAGCCCAAAGAATAGCCATGTGATTGCCATGGCCGCGACTTGCTATGTGTATGGCAGTTGCGACATGACTGTTCCAGTAAGCATGTAACTGTCTTTGCTTTGGCGATGCGATTTCGTGATCTTCACCACTTCCAGGATGCTTCTCACAACGGCGGTGGTAATGATGATGCTATCGCTACAAGTAGTTGTGATCTCCAGGGAGTCGGTTGAGGTTGTCATCCTGCAAAGATTGGGTGCAGTTGAAGACTCCCGTTAAAGGATTGTTGGGCGCCTGTGCACGACCGTTGACGGCTCAGGGTAGCAACTGTTCAATAGCTTCCTCTGCCAAGACTTGAGTCAGCAAGTGGCCACACAGACCTGTGAAAAATGCTAAACTTGTCTGTCCAACCCGATTCGTACCGTTTTCACAGACCGGCTCGATTTAATCATCATTGTCAGATGTGTACCGCCGTGGTCTTAAGTCGAAGTTTTGTAAAATCGGCACATGGGGCTGCTTTGCTTTGCTGGCGGCGCAACACAAACCTGGACGAAGCATGACCTTTCATCCCCGAAGTGTCGAGTCGAACCTTTGGATTTCTCGCCTCCTTTGCCTATGCTCCTAACGACTCTGCTGTCCAGGTGTGGGGGGGCATATTTAACGCACAACTGGCACGAAACCATCTCAAAGATGGAACCCCAAACTAACAAAAGCTGTTCATGGCCTCTTGCTGCAGTAACGTGGCGGGTGCGTCTGGCTTCGTCTCTGCCAGGTGGTCGATGTAAGCTGAGACAGCTTAGGTGTCTAGGGCTTGAGAAGTTTCAGGTTCAGGCTTTCGAGCTTTGGGGCTTCAGGGCCTTTGAAGCTTTCAGGGTATAGGGCTCAAGGTGGTTTTATCATGCACACTCGCACCAAGCGGCAAGGTTCCAGGGGGTTTAGGCTTTCGGGGCTTCAGGACCGGGTGCTTCGAACACAGCAAGTGCTTAAATCAATCCTGCAAAGGCCTTGCTGAAAGCCCTGAGCCAGCATACCATGACTCTGCACGCTTGGCCTGGTGCAGATTGCCAACATCAAACTAACTTTACTGCTCCTGCTCCTCCTGTTCTCACTTTTTTCTACTACTGCTGCTGCTACTACTGCTACTCCTGCTGCTACAACTACCATTACAATTTCTACTACTCCTACATATACTATTATTACGACGACGACGACTACTACCACTACTACCACTACTACCACTACCACCACTACCACCACCACCACCACCACCACCACCACCACCACTACTACTACTACTACTACTACTACTACGACTACTACAACTGCCTACTGCCTACAGCCTACTATGTACCTACTACCTGCTGCCTACTACATCTACTACGTACTGCGTACTACGTACTACGTATTACGTACGAAGTACTACGTACTACGTACTACGTACGGCGTACTACGTACTGCGTACTACGTACTTCCAAACCTGCTGCTGCTGCAACTACTACTGCTACTGCTACTGCTTCTGCCTCTGCTATTAGTACTGCTACTGCTACGGCTACTGCTATATACTACTATATGCTAATATATGCTACTATATACTACTACATACTACTATATACTACTATATACTACTATATACTACTAAATACTACTATATACTACTACTTCTACTACTTCTAAGACTACTACCACTACTACTACTACTACTACTACTACTACTGCTAGTCCTGCTTATCGAGTTGTTTGTTGTTGGTCTTTGCATGAGGGCTGCGATCATGGAAAGCTGTCATTTCCCTGTGGACTTCCTGCGACTGCCCACATGGTCACTAATTTGCCAGCACTCATCCATCATCATAACTATTCCTTGCACGACAGTCCTGACTAAAATATGCCTGAATATTCATAGCATCATCACGAAGAACGACAGCAATTACGATAACATTGAAAATCGTAGCAGTATTGATGCCGGTGTCCCCAGTGCATGCAACGGCTTTTTCTTTGCGAGTATTGTGGAACCATGGATTCGGCCTGAACCGGTCTGTAGTCGGCCACTGCAGGTGTCCCAGCAGCCACTAGCAAAACTTATCCGGAACACCGGTGCCAGCAAGGTCGGAAACCCTGAACTGCATCACCACCAGAGCAGCTCGGAAGGCCAAGTTGCCGTGAAGTCCGGGGAAGGGGGTCGACATGCTGATCGGCCATGAGGCAAGCCGAGGCAGGGGGGTTGCTAGATCTTCTGAGGCTCAAGGTGAAACGTGGGATGGTCTACGAGTCACGGCTGCTGGTCGCCCTGAAGAAAGAACAAAGCGGGACCAATGCATCTGGGGTAACTAGAAGTTGTGCTCGCTTCTTTTGCTGTGCTCATGTTACATGTTTGTCTCAGTGCATGCGCACAGTACACACATAGAGATGTATGCGTGTATACAAATAAAACTGAAGGCACGGCTACGGATACAGACAGGACTAGCTACCTGCACCGACATGCAAGGAACAGAACAAGAACAGAACAACGGCACAAACAAACGAAATCCCGCTTTCGGCCTTCCTAAACTTTAACCCGGTGAAACCAATGCTTCGCCCTTCCCAGGCAGAAGCTTCCGGGCCGAAGCAGCAGCGAGATCAAGCAGGCATGAAGGATTACATTGAAGATTTGTCGGGTATCTTAATGCTGGAGCTGCAACCTCACTCCTCGGACTCAGAGCTATGGTTTATGTTGAGGATCGTTCAGCACCTATGCGGCTTTGGTGGGCTGACGGTTCTGGCAAACAAGCCAAATCGAGGATATTCGAGGATGCAGTGAGGGCTGCTCGAGGGTTCGATGTAATACCGATCTCGGATGCATACCTTTTCGTACGGCGAAAGGCTTCAGACCACACACATCACAATGCCCCTAGGTTTGTACTGCTGGATGCGGTCGGCAACATGCATGCAACACCTTTGGCGCCTGCTGCTGCCTCTCAGAAACAAGGGCGCAAGTACCTACGGTACACTCCGTCCTGTGTTTGCGTGAGCGCCTTCTTGTATATGTCTGCTGACTTGTGTGTGTGTGCTGGCAGATCTGCCGGCGTATGTATCCCTACATGCATGCCCAGGACGTATGCAGATACCCCGTGCCCACATGCAAAATATCATACAAATAAACTCAGACATGCACAGCCACGTACATGCAGATACGCATGAGCACATGCACGCTAAAGTAACTGCAAATATGCATACGCCAAGGCGCATGCGCCAATTCGAATTGCACGTACGTATAAAATGTGTTGCCTGTATAAGAAAGAAATCCATTGATCAAAAGACAACACTACCCGTGAACCACGATGTTCTCTGAGTGTATAGCTGGATCTTGCAACGACTCTGAAGGTGCTTGAGCCCTTTGGCTAAACTGCAGTCTACACTCGCCAGATCTGGTTCCTTTGAGGAACAAACCATCTGGAGTCGGCCTTTCATTTGCATAACACAAAATTTCCTGCGTCCAGTTCTCGGAAACCCAGCAAGATTCGACTTCCCATCCTAAGCGTCACTCTAAATGGCTGGTCGGCTCGTGATGTTGCACCCCGAAAAAGCTTGCCCTTTCCAGAACTTTGGACTCGTGACGCCTGCTGCTTCCAAGTGGAGGTGTGTGAACCCGCAGAGCATCCAGAACTCCTGCGATCTTCAAGGGGCCAACGCCGAAGTGTCGGCTTCGGCCGGCCGAGTATTCAAAAATGAACAGGCGGGTGATCTTCCAGTCTCGACACGTGGAAAGAAGCCTTCGCGGGTTCTCGTGTTTCGCGCTGAACTAGGCCCACTAGGCAATTTTCACGCTGTGGGTGGTTGGGAGCTATGTTTGCCCTTCTTCGTTTCATCTGGCTCAGGTGTTCTGCCCCAGGAATGCACCTCAACAGGCTTGTTCAGTGCCTCTGGGACCCTGAACTACCACGGCATGGGGTCAAAGCGGATACCAAACCCTTATCAGTCCAGCCAACATTCTGCCCAGGTGCAACCTTTGCCATCCCCAGTTGCACAGCTTTTAGATTCGTCTATATACGACAAGGGGATTTCTGCAAAAGCTGACAATGCTGGGGAGCTTCTGTCTAATACCTGGCAGGACATCAGGAGACGAGATGCAAGCTGCTACAGCGTCTCGTTGCCGTTATAGCCAGGGGTTGAGATTGAACACAAGTCTTGGACGCGTTGAGCTGAGCAAACCTGGTAGCAAAATGACTTTTTAGCACTCGCGCTCGACTAGGTCGGCCAGATATTAAAGCCTGCTGGTGGCTCAGCCTGTTATTCTGACCCAAACTTTAAGGCCTGTAATACCCTCGACTCTCTCGCCACGTTACCGTTGCCATTTTCAACCCGAACCGCCCGAACCCTCCTTTTCAAGCTGAAACTTGCAGGCTTCATTGCCAGAATAAGAACTCTGCCTGTACCTGCCAGTGTGGGATTGGGTCCTATGCTGCAGAGCTTGTCGATAAGTTGAACCGTCAAGACTCGACACCCTCAACTGACATGAAATTCATGTTGAAGTCCGAAAAGAGGTGCAGATGCCACAGGAGCAGCAGAACGCACGGCCCGCTGCCCCGTAAGCTCGAGTGATTTGAAGCCCAAATACCGACAGAATCCGACAGAGTTCGGGTTCCTAAATGCCAATCAAGTATCAGGAACGGTACATATTCCTGAATACGACAATGAATAATGTTTGTACTCCTTGAGCCCGGGCTCTGAAGCAGAGCACTAGAAGCGATGACACCCCTTCCTCAAAAGAGCCAACCGAAATCAGGAGCCGACAGCCCGGATTCGGTATTGCGCCTGCTTCTGCCATCATTGAACAAGGCAAGGCTCCGCCGCATCAATCCTGGTCAAAGTTGTCTATGCCTCAGCAGCAACTTGCTCTCGTGATTCGCGGTGTTGGCCTTGAGCACTTGGTTCTTTTAAGGACTCATCCTCTGAGTATCCGCACGACAGTAATTCGATCTGTGCCAATTCATGCAGGGCTTGGGACTTAAGTTCGAGCTTCAGGGTATTTATCGTGGGTGCTATGGCTGCAAAGTCGCAACGCCCAGCTCGCAACCTCCTTGCAGACAGACATCGCCCCGAAAACCCTCAAATTCCTCAAACTCTAACCTAATCCCTGAACCTGTCACCGGCACGTCTTGCGGCCGTAGGTGCTGAGGATCGGCTCCCAGGCCCGTCCGGAGGGGGAGGCTGGAGAGCCTGTTCTTTACTGGCGGCTTCACGGGGCTGTGCAGGGGTAGGGTCCAGATATGTCCGGATGGAAAGGTTTCGGGAATTCAGGGCTCTGCAACCCTTGCGCTGCTCAGTTAGGTGACACCGCATGGCAAGGTAAGGTTGTGGTCACGTCTTGCTTTTGATTTTGATTAGTTACAGATGCGGCCTATGCGTCCAGCGACAAGGACAAAAGAGTCTTCAAAGCGAAGCAAGAGTCAGGGCTTTCGTGTCTGGTTTCTCCAGGGTTGTGCTGTAGCCTGCTGCCTGCTTCTTATTCTGGCATCGCTTGGGCTTAACTTCGGTTGGTAGCCGCTTGAAGTTAGGTCAAGCGCAAACAAGAAACCCTTCCCCTACCGCTTCAGGCTTCTTCAGCTGGACTCTGTCATGGTACTCAGTTTCAGCATGAAGGAAAGACATCGAATCGGCCCTGTAACAACTGCTATCTACAGCAGCTAAGCCTGTTACGCAGCATGTCGATTTAGGTTGGGGCTTGGGCTACAGGGCTGGGTGCGCCGTGGGATGACGATGATGATGCTGATGATGATGATGATGAAGGCGGCCCCGCCTGGCAGTTCCTCTTCCACCATGCCAGGAACTACCACGCCTGTGCTCAGATGAAAGTGCCGATTCTTAAAACTTGATGATCCCATAATGGTATGCGAAGAATCCGACCGTTGGCATCGAGGATCTATCCTGACGTGTCCCATGTTCTGAGATTCCAAAAAACAACCCCTTGTCAGTCAGGGGCTTTCATGGCAAACCGATGAGGGCCGTGCTGAGTGGCCCTTTGCAGTAACTCCAAAAACGTCTGGCGAGGTCAAGGAAGACACTCCAAGTTGTGGCAGTTTGTCGGCTTCAGAGGTGTGAAGCTTTAGTTGCGAATTTCTTTCGATGTTGCTTCGTGGGCTAGAGATGCACGGGCTTGACGGGTTTGACCTTGAGCACCGAGGACTTCCAAAGCGCAAGCAGCTTCATCCCCACAGAAATCAGCCTGGGGAATGGAAGACGAAGATGCAAGGCCGGGAGCTGAGAGCTTCATTCAACATGAGCTCTGATCTATGACATCTATGAGGCTGATCCCGACAGAACCTAGGACCTCGAAGTTCAGCTTCTCTGACTAGGAACGAAACCTTGAAATCTGGGAACATCAGACAGTTCGCACAGCCCAAAATTTGAAACCCCAGGCAGCCCAAACCCAGAACTCCTGTTGTACTTGCTGCACTCCGAGAACTCCACGCAAAAACCTTGCGCCCTTGATCCCAGAACAAACCCATAACTTGCAAACCTTGCACGACGGCCCAACCAGACCCTGCAGCATGTAGTGTCGCAACAGTTCCTAGCCAAAACCACAATGATGAAACTGACTGTTAGGAGCAAGGACAGAAGTCATCAGCATCACCATCACAAGCATACTCAGCATGACACTGGTCATGGCCTCGTGGCTCGTGGTTGCCGAGATTTGGGCTCCTGTCAACACCCCGGGCGCTTCTCTACTCTACTGATCTTCATGACATAATCTGGCCACTGCTGCCGCTACTATGTACAATCTTCTACTGATGCTAGTACTACTACTACAACAACTACTACTACCACTACCACTACCACTACCACGACCACGACCACGACTACGACTACGACTACGACTACGACTACGACTACGACTACGACGACGACGACGACGACTACTACTACTCCTACTACCACTGCTACTTACTACTGCTACTACTACTACTACTACTACTGCTACTACTACTACTACTACTACTACTAGATTGTCAGAACTTTTTCATGGGGCGATGTGAGGCTTCCGGACTGTGATTAGGGTCATGCAGTTTGGTGTC